CTTTGGTCCACTGAATTATCTGGTTGGCCCTTGAGACCATACTGTTAACCGAAATAAACTGGACATACATGTTTAACCTTGCATTATTTAACCTTGCTGTGAGAAATGTAAATGTGTAATAGGTATTGCGGGAGGGAAAGGAAGAAAAAAAAAGAATAGAAGAAAAAAAAAGGAGACAAAGTTTTTACAAAGAAGGAGGGAAAGAGGTGTTGAAGGGAGGGGAGCAAATTGGGGATAAAAGAATCAAGATATATTAGGTGCAGGAACAAATTCCCTACAAGGAATGGGATCACCATGTATATGCAAAATGTGCCAATAAATTCAATTAAAAATAAAAATAAAGCATGCCACAACAAAAAGCACAAAGAAAAACTAACAACCATGTGTTGCCCATCAGTTGGGGCATGAATGATTGAGCTAGTTTATAAGTAGGTTTGGGTTTGAAAGCTAGAAAAGTAGGAGAGTAATAAGAAAATGAAGGTATAATTAAGAAAATACCCTATTTTGTCAGGGGTATAGCTCAGTGGCCTAAGTGCCTGCCTGGCAAGTGCAAAGTCCTGAGTTCAATCCCCAGTACAAAATGAACAAACAAGCAAACAAACCTGTTTTTATTTTATTAAAAAATACTATATTTGTATTTAGAACACAAAAGAAAGTCTTGATAAACAAGAAAAAACAAATCCTGTCACTGAAGCCCTTTAGGCTATATATTTTAATATATACTTATATTTACAGAGGTTCTGTTCTTTTTAACTGACTTTACTTTTTTTAAAAAATGTATTTAGTACAGGATCTACAGGGTCTCACTACACAGATTGGGCTCAGAGTGATCCTCCTGTTTTCAGCCTCCCAAGTGCTGGGATTACAGGCATGTACCACCATGCCCAGTCTCATTCAAGATCTTAAGTCTCAATCCAAGTCTCAGCATGCCCTGGAGCAGGGGCGGCACAGCACGCAGGGGATTGAACTTTGGTCCTTGTATCTGCTGAGCTATCTGACTGGCCCTGACTTTACTTTCTTATTACAAAAAAATAAGATCAGACATTATACCTGAGTCTTGGAGCCCTTTCCCTTCACCTCTGTGTATGGTGGACAGCTTTTCTGATCATTATTATTTACATGGTCATTTTTACTTTTTTCTTTTCTTTTTTTTTTTGCGGTACCACGGGTTGAACTCAGGACCCTGGGCTTACCAGGTAAGCACTTATTTCACTGAGCTCTCTCCATGGGCCTCATTTTTACTAATTGCACAGTATTTTTAGTACACAGGGGTACCATAAGTTAGGCAATCTGTTATTGGTTAAAATGTGGGTTAGTTTCCTGTTTTTCAAATTATAAACAATGCTGTGAAGCAACCCTGTGGTTACAACTTTTTTGTTTCACATTCTTTAGGTTCAGTTTACGGAATGTAACAGTGGGGATCAGGGGCCTTTGAGCCACAGTGTCCTCTAAAGCTGTGAAATTCATATTCCGACTAGCCACCTGAGAGATATCTGCTGCCCTATATTTGTACTTACACTGGTTAACTCTTTCTAATATCTACCAACCTAATATTAACAATAAATTTGTTTTTGTTTACTTTCAGTTGACAAAACTTTGTGTTTGTCTTTTGTATAAATCTTGTTTTATGAACTGCCTGCTTGTGTTGCTGCCCTCTCTCTCTTTTTTGGTAGATGAGTGCTGGTTCTGGTTTTTAAAGTCCAATCAATAACCTCTTATTCTCCTGAACTTCACTGTTTAAATTATTTTAACATTCAATTAAAAAAAATAATGTCTGTAGGACTACAGATTAAACAGGGCCATGAACATGCTAGGCAAACATTTAACCTTATGTAGTGGAAATTTATTCTGAAAGACGGTTGCCCATTTTTCTGAGCAGTGGGTAAATACTGATAAGGACTCCATTTATTAAGTAGGCCTTTCCTTATCTTTTTGAAACACTAATTGTATCACATATGAAATTCTGGCAGCTATTCCAGTAAGGGTTTATTCTGTACCTCTGCTGGGCTCACAGTAAACATACTCTTACTGTAACCTTGCATGAATATTATTGCTTAATATTCTTTGCAAATTAAGAAACACAGTTATACAAAAATGGAAGCCATGGTGCCAATGCTTTTAGTCGTATATTTCTAGAAATGCTAAACCAGAGCTTATTGTTCTGTATCAAAAACATTACATATTTTAACAGTATTTCAGGATAGTTAAAAATGAAAATTCTTCAAAAAGGTCTGCCCAAAGCAGGAACAACCTACTTTTATGTGTATTTGTGTAGGCCACTTCCTGGATTTCCTAACTTGGCTCATACCGTCTTCCTGTAGTGTAGACTAAAAGCAAGAGTTACAAAGGAAAGAAGCTCCACAATGGGCCAGTTGGACCTAGGGGCCCTGGGGAATGGGATGGGACTCCGCCAGTCCCTTCCCTTCCCCTGTAGTGGTTTTGCCACTAGGACTCAGTGTGTGCCTGCACCAGACTGGCGCCTCCTGCACTTACCATAGGATTCTGCCTCTGGAGGTTGAAGAGCTCATTCTGGTACATTGCAGCAGCAAAGGGGTAGACAGCGGGCAGCTGGGCCTCTGGTTTCTTCAGCGCCAGTAGTGTGTGCTCAGGGTCCCCTTTCCGAAGGACAACATTGATGTGGTCCACTGCAGCCAATCCTGAGGGCACAGGTCATGCTCTGTCAGAGGCCTGCTGTCTCTTCCTGCCCAACCTGGCCAGCCCTTCTTCCTCAGGCTTCTCTTCCCAAGAGCTTGGGTGGATGGCAGCTAGTCCTTGGAGAAGTCAGCCCAGTGACAAGGCAGTCCAATCCTGGGGAGTTCATCCCTGAGAGGACTTCAGCACTGACCAAGCTGCAGTTAAAACAATCATTCCTGCCTAGCAGGGCTTCTCCACAAAAGCCTTCCTCTGGGGATGGCTCTGGTTCCATCTCTCCAAGAAGTCCCTGAGTTGCTTCAGTCCCTGAGATTTCCCACCTCATGAATCCTGTCCAGTGCCACGAGGCTTGTCTCCCACTGCTGCTTGTGGGTCACTGCTGCCTCTGCAGGGACAGACCTGAAGCAATCCTTGCTCTGCAGCACCCGGCCCGTGACTGTTCACCCTTCAGCAGGCACTCAGTCCATGCGATCAACTACAAGCTCTGTGACCTCACCACCAGTCGTAGTGTTCAGGTTACAAGAGATTTTAGTGAATAAACTAGGAGTACTTTGAAAAGCATTTCAAAGTACTCGGTGTCATTTTTAGAGCATAGAAACTGAATTTCCAACCTCATGGGGCACTGGGTGATGAGCTCTGTCACCAGGCAAGGGCAAAGAGATGGAGCCTGACGTGTGTGCCTTCTAAAGGATGCATCAGAGACTCACCTAGAGAGAAAACATTCTCTGAGGCTTCCACAGAGAGCGAATTGGTCAAGCAAGGGCTGTGACTCATCCACATGGCCGACACTGACAAAGGATCTACGAACTGCGGTACGGGGTTTTAGGGTAAATCCTGAGGGGATTTGACTGACCTTGTCAGATACAAGAGTTACATTTCTCATCATATATGTCTTGCTTTATCTTGGTCTTAACCATCCAGCAGAAAAGTATAAAAACAAGGTATAAAAAGTATTCAATTCCCGGTTCCACAAAAAAAAAAAAATAAATAAATAAAAGTAAACCCATATTAATATGATGAGCTGTAAAAGGCTCAAGTCAACAACTTCTGACATTGCCAGTCCTATGGATAACCCACTACTATTATGGACTACTGGACTATATTGGAATAGTTTGCTCAATTCATGCACCTATAATATTTAAATGGCAATGGAATACCCATCTCTGACAAAACTAAACAAAAAAAGGGGATATAAGTGAAGGACCATGTTGTATCTGTGTATACAAAAATAGGATAGATATACTGCTACTTTCTCTTAATTCAATGAGAAGAAAGATTTGTACTAATAGTGTTTGGACAGGATATCATGTCAGCATCTTGTACTATGAATAACCACTACGAAGACAACAATATGCAATGTATTAATTATAACTGTCTTACCAACCTGTTTTGAAACTGTCTCATTGCTATTTGTTTCTCAATAAAATTAATAAAAAAATAAATAAATAAAGGATGCATCTGTGGAGCAGGAAAAACAGACACCGAGCTTCCTAAATCTTCCCAAGGGTTGATCTGTTGGCCTAAGGCAGGACTAGGGTGCAGCTGAGATTATTCTGACTTCTTTGACACAAAGATAATTTATCTTCTCTAACTACATCCACAAGGAGCTTGCCTTGAACGTCCCACTAAGAGACCCCATTCCACAGTGGGAGACATGACCAATGGAATTCTTCAAATCATCCCTGAAAACTCACCCTTGTCAAGGCATCTACAAGCCTAAGAATTCCTTTTGTGTCCTTAGAATTAATGGACAACTGAAGGAATTCCAGAAAAGAGGGCCAGGTTGCTCATGGTATTTGCTCTTGTGTTAATGTTATTCAAGGCCTTTCAGCAACACCAGGGATTATTCTAGGTAGGACCTCGCCTCACTTCTAAGAACTTTATTATAAGAATCTTGACAACAACCCTATGCCATAAACAAATGCTGCTGAATTAATATAATTTTGTTTAGTGAAATTCTGTATCATTTCTATTTTTTTTTATTGCCATTATTTTGTATTCTCCTTAAAAATTAAAAACACAATCTGCACAACTGGGCCGGGGAGATGGCTCAGCAGAATAAGCACTTGCCTGGCAAGTCCAAGGACCTGAGTTCAATCCCCAGTTCCACCAAAAAAAAAAAAAGAAAGAAAGAAAGAAAGAAAGACTTTGGGGGCCTGGCCCTAGCTCTGTTCTTTAAGTGGCTGCTTCCACAAAGCTGGCAGCCTCAGGTTGCTGTAGTTCATCCCCACAACACTCCAGCCAGCCAAAAGTGCCCTGAAGGCATTCGAGGAGAAAAAAAAAAAAATCCTAATCTGCACAACTATATGTTAAATATTACTAGAAAGCATACCCTTAAAATACTTTTTTTTTTTTTTTTTTTTTGCGGAACCGGGGATTGAACTCAGGCCCCTGCGCTTGCCAGAGAAGCACTTATTCCACTGAGCCATCTCCCCGCCCCAATAAGGATTTTTTTTTTTTTTGCTCCTCGAATGCCTTCAGGGCACTTTTGGCTGGCTGGAGTGTTGTGGGGATCGAACTACAGCAGCCTGAGGCTGCCAGCTTTGTGGAAGCAGCCACTTAAAGAACTGAGCTAGGGCCAGGCCCCCTTAAAATACTCTTAATAAGTGCTAAGGATAAGGGCCAGCAGCATAAGTACTTGCTTGGCAAGCACAAGGTCCCGAGATTGATCCCCATGTACTGAAAAAACAAAATAAAAAAACAAAAATAAAAACAAACCCCAGAAAACACTCTTAATAAACTATTTTTTAATAAAACTGTAACAGAGCCTGTTCTTCTGAACCATGTTGTCATACTCTGCATTTCACAAAAAGTCTAGTCCTGACCTGAAAGCATGCAGGCTGTGCAGAGCAGAGTGTGTGTGAGAAATTCCCAAGTGCAGGGCTGCAGTTCGGACAAAGCTGAAATGTCCGAGGAGAGGTCCCTCTGCATCACCCCAAAGCTGTCCCTCAGGCCACTGTGATGGCTGCAATAAATGTACATGCCCCACAGTTGAATATAATGGCCTACACGGCAAGGAAAGAGGCTGTACCTCTCCTGTGCAGGTTTGAATGCGCACAACAGCCTCGTTGTCATGTCACAGACTAAAACATGTTTTGGAGACATTTTTCAAGACTACTTTGGCCAGAGAGATGGCTCAGTAGAATAAGCACTTCCCTGTCAAGTGCAAGGGTCTGAGTTCAATCCCCGGTTCCACCAAAAAAAAAAAAAAAAAAAAAAAAAAAAGACTACTTTTAGTTCCTGGGGATGACAAACTTTCAGACAGGGAGAGAGCAAAGGCTTCAGAATAACTGTTCAGCCCATTTCTAAAGCCAACAAACATTGCTGATGCCCTTCCTCAATTTCAGCTGGTTATACTATTAGTGAAAATCTTCCAATATCTTTTACTTAAAAGTGGGGGAGAAGTATAGTCAACTTGGTATCAAATTTGTGGCCCAGAAATTATCAAGTATTAAAATATTTATTTACATGGTATTTTATTTAACATAAAAAAGACCATCGTAATGGTTGTACACCTTTCAAAAATAAAAGGTGGCAAAAGGCTACGGAACCTCTCCTAAGTTTATGGACCTCAGACAGTATCCCATTGGTAGTATTAATTTCTTCCTGTAATCTATTTCTGTCAAGTATAATAAAGTTCTCAGCTTTCAAACAAAGCAGAGAGACCTGAAATCAGACCTCATATAACATCATCAACACATTCAAGATTTAACAGGCATGGGACATGAATCGATATGGTAAGGTGTGGATTTTTTAATGAAAGTCATTTATGAGCGTGTGTGTGTGTGTGCGCGCACACTGAATTCTCAAACTCACTCAGTTGCTAACAGCCAGACACTGACTGACATTAACTGCCCTGGGCTGCTCTGATTACTGTTTGAACCCCCGGTGTGTCTCACTGGGAACTTGGGACATATTTTTGAGTAACACCTGTGGGTGTATATTTCTTTGAAGGTGTTAAGACAAATAAAGAACATTCCAACTCTTCTAGGAAGTTACATCAAGGGCAAGGATTAGGACAATGGAAATTAGTGGAATCTCCAGGCCTCAATAGGGTACTCACGTGTCTTATTAAATGGGCCAACTGTCTTCCATTTCTTGGGGGTGTTTTTTTGCGGGGGGAGGTGAAGATAAACAGGTTTAGATTGACTAAAGAAAATAAATGTCAAGTGGAATTCCTTGTGCCTTTTCTGATGCTCTAGTAAAATAAATTTTACTTGAAGAGGGAAAAGTCTAATAAAAAGATTCATGACTCTAAATTTGAAGATGTTTCTTTTAATTATCTGAGTTTTCTGATTTTTCCGGCCACATAACTGGATGAAATAGTAAGATGAATTGAATTCAGTGACTCCATGGGGCTCAGGAACAGGGGACTAAAACAGGCCACGGGGAAACTGCATCTGGACCTTCACTCACTCGCACTAACACTACAAAGCTGTATGAGAGCAACTCCTGCAAATTGTAGGCTCTTGCCTGGGAAAGCAGAAGTAATCTCTTTTACGGTCCCAGCAGAATTCTACCACATAATCACATGCAAGGAATTAGAAGCCTGAAGTCATAGTGTTTACTTAGTAAGCTTCACTATCATTTGAATGAGAGATAGATTCAAAACATGAGTTGAACCATTCCTGTGAGGAACAGGGAGGTAGGACCTACCTCTGGACAAAAAGCAAAACTCGGTGGGGAACTCTCAGATGTTGTGCCATAGGGTTAATATAGCCTTTCGGTAGATTTTCCATCCCTTAAGGCTGTTTTACAAGAATAGTTTGAGGGTTCTGCTGGAACTCTGGCAATGAAAGTCCACCTCTTACAAAGACCCACTCCCCCACCACCCATACTCACTGTTGACTTTATCAATGCTGCCCTGGATTTCTGCTTGTGTCAGCAGTTCTTCATACACGTCCCTCTCTTCTTCTGAAATACAGTTGTTCTGCAAAACAAAGTCTTCACTGATTCTCAAGATTCAGTAAAATGTTTCCCAAGCTTGAAACACAAACGAAAACATGAGAATGGTGAAAGAAATAACTCACTAGTTGTCATCTGAAGTCTGTACAAGCATTTGAAAGGAGCCTGCTCTGGGCAGGGCCCCAGGAAAGACACACAGGCCCCACAAGGGTCACACAGACAGGCAACAGACCCAAAGTGCTTTGAAAAGACCTATGTGGCCAGGTGGAAGACATCGGGTTGGATCGCAGAATATTGTCACTTTTTAGGATTGAAAAACAGGTGAATATTGATAATGTCTTTCCATTTAATCTGTTAAGATCAAGAACACAAAAATTGAAAATGAAGAACAGAACTGGTTCTAAAAGAGAAGTAGATTCAAATTTAATTGGAAAGAAAAATTTAAAAAGAAGCAATAGTTTAGGAAGGCCTGGAAAATGATGAGGAGAGGGAATGGGATGTGGGTGGCGGGATTTGGTCACACAGGTGACATGTGACATGTTAGGCCACTTTGTACAGGTGGTCCAGGGTTACCAAAAAAGGTAGGGAGGTCACTTGCATACCTCAGAGATCTCTGAGGGCCAAGCCAAGGACCTGCACTTGATTCAGTGGCCACAGAGAATCAGGGGCAGTTTGGGGGCTATGATATTAAAAATTGATGCTGCACAGCTGAGCTCTATGAAGAAAGCTTGGAAAATGCCAGGAAGCAGCAAGACACTGGAGCTAGGTGTCTCATCCCATGCCAGGGTGGGTAAGGTAAAGGGGGGTGTTCCTTCACTTCACCTGCATAAGGGACGGAAAAAGCATGAGACACTGTAGCAGTTTCTTTTAGTGAGGGAGCTGAAGCTGTCAGCAAGAGCTTAGTGAAAGGAAAAGCTGGCAGGGAAGCAGAGGATTGATGTTGGCAGCTCCAGTAAGTGACTAGCCAGGAAGGTGGGGTAGTGTGTTTGGGTTGGAACCCACTGTCTTGCCAAGGAGAGACACTCAAGGATGAAGCATTAGGAAAACGATGCATTGAAAAATATCCCTTCTCACTTCCCCATACTGAATTATGTATGTATGGATGGATGTATATACGTATGTGTTTAGTACAGGGTCTACAGGGTTTCACTGCACAGATCAGACTTGTAGTGATCTTCCTGTTTCAGCCTCCCAGGCACTGGGATTACAGGAGCACACCACCACACCCAGTCTCAGCTGCCCTCTCAGTGCGTCTCAGGGGTGGGGCCGGCATGGCATGCCGGGGATCGAACCCCGGTCTCTGCATTTGCCTAAGGAGGTTCTTTAATCCACTGAGCTATCTGGCTGGCCCCCCACACTGAATTATTTTTTATTTTATTTTCAGACATGGTCCTGCTAAGTTAGGAAGCTGCCCACCTCAGCTTTGTATTCTTCCTGCCTTAGCCTCCTGGAGTGAAAGGATTGCAGGTACGTGTCACCATGCCCTGGTGAGACATGATGCTTAGCTGATACTGCTACACTTCCTGGGTAAATGCAAAGTTCACATCATGACCTTCAGTCCTTCCAACCTATAATCTCCTTCATAAAATGAAATCAGTCTCATTATGTTGGACAGCATGTGGCTGACTTTATGCTTACATTTCACTCAAACCAGTTAGTTGCCTATGGCTATAGAGTTGGTAGCCAGATGACTTAGAAATATTGGTTCTAACATTAAGGCTCTTGCAAAGTTACTCATAATCATATTCATTACTGTACTTACTACTTCAATTTGAACTAAGTACCTTCAGCTTTGCATTTTCCTCTTTTTTTCTTTTAGCTCCCCAGAGTTCCTTCTGATATTCTTCTGCCAGGCTGTCATCCACTAAAGTCAAAACTGCATTTGGGTTTCTTAGTGTTACAATGGTCTGCTCTGCGATTCCTTTTTCAATAGCTTCATTAATGGCTATGACTGCAGCATGCACTGAGAATAAAGAGAACAGAGTTTTAAAATCAACAAAAAATATGGACAGTTATACATGGACAGTGTGTGATGTCAAGCAAGTTTACTGTATTCGGTGTCAAGTTAAGTATGCAAAAAATAAAAGGACCTCAGACCCATGACAGACCCTGTCCACATGCCTGTCTGCCTCTGGTCTTTGTCCTGTTCTGCATCCCAGTTCATTTATCCAACTTGCACCAAACAATTAAAATGAATGGGGGTGGGAAGGGGTGGGCAAGATAGCCCAGTGGACTAAGCACCTACTTAAGCAAGAGCAGGGACTGGGATTCAAGGTCCAGTACCACATGCTGCCCCAGCTCTGCCACTGGTTGAATTGAACCAGCAACCCCTTTGGTGCATGCCTGTAATCTCAGGAGTGGGGAGGCTGAAAACAGAAGGATCACCATGAGTCTGAGCTGCCTATTGAGACCCTGTGCAAAAAAAAGAATTGGGAACTACATCCACCACTAGGAATTCTGCAAGTACAAGCCCATGGCTGTTCTCTGGTCAGGGCAACATTAACAGTTTTAAAGTAACAAGCCGGTTCAAAGAGATACCCAAAAGTGAGACTGTAACCCTGAAAGACTCAACAATGTACCTTGACACTAAAATCTGAAATCTAAGGATAGAGAAACATTTTGGGAAAGGAAGACATTTGTGGGGCCTCTGAATTCAGGCTGTGCAAGTGGTTGCCTAAAGTCCAAATCAATGACTTGGTTATGCTCTGACAACCTCAAATTATTTGTGATGTGGATAAAAATTAAAAAAAAAATCTCTCAGGGTGCTTAACGTATATTTTTAAATTAATTAATTAAATTAATTAATTTTTAATGTACTTGGTTGTTACAGGGTCTCACTACATAGCTCAGATTCCCAGTTATCCTCCTGTTTTCAGCTTCCCCAGTGCTGGGATTATAGGCAAGCAACACCACATTCCAGGACTCTGTGACCCCAGACTCTGGCTGGCATAGCCGCCTTGGGGGCAGGGCTGGCATGGCAAGTGGTGCCAGGGATCCAACCAACTGTCCCTGTGCTTGCCTAAGCAGGCGCGTTAGTCTGCTGAGCTATCTCACTGGTCCCAAGGTATATTTTAAGTACTCTATTTCATGTGACCAAGATCAACAAGCAAAGTACTGGTAAGTTGTATGCCAATGGCAAGTATGGGTTTTAAGCAGACTTACATGCAGCTTCATCCACAGATAGTTCATTGGCCAAAATGCCACCAATTTTGCTGAAAGACGGCATCTGTATTCCATATTTCTCAAGTTCTTTTCTCATATTACTGATTTCTTCCTCTATAAGAACAATAACAAAAAAATCAAAAGAAGATATAGACAGAGATAAAGGCAGGACTGGATAATACATTGGTATAAAGAAAGGCCTTCCTTTGGAGGTGGGGCCTTATCTAAACCACAGCCTTAGCCAAAAAAAAAGAATAAAGAAAAAGAAGATGGGTTCAGTGGTGCACACCTATAATCCCAGCACTTGGGAGGCTGAGGCAGGAGGATCACTGCCAGGACAGCAAGATCCTGTCTAAAACAAAAATGAAAACCAGGAGCCTCAGGAAGAATCAAGCCTACATTTCTTATTTTACAAATGTGGGAAAAGGGAGTCCAGGTGAGGACAAACAATAGGTAAGTTTTCTCTTCTTATCAATATACCGGAAAAAGGGGAAGTAATACTATCAAGGTGAAAGCAGAAAACACTGGTCCATTTTCTTAGTAAGCTCACTGTGAAAAATACATAAAGAACATTACCTGTGAAGTCCACTTTGCCCAAGAGATCCTGGATCTGGGGTGCTATCCCTAGTTTGAATAGATATAAGCTGAAAGACAAAATATCAAATTGTCGGAAACTGTATGCTCATAAACTTTAAAGTTATAAATTGCATAAGTTTCAAGGGCTCTTTTAGCTGCAAAGGGGTACTGTATTTGACTTATTCACTTTACAGATGAGAAGGTGTGTGTTGAGTTTACATGGTCCCTGTTTAAACTGGTCCTTCCAGTTTAAGCTAAAGGCTGGTCTTCCAAAGTGTACAGCATTTCTCTGGAGTAAACTAACTCCCCACCATCCATTTGTAAAATGAACAAGAAACACAACCAAATATAAAACAATATGTAAAAGCACAATCAACATTTATATAGAAGTCCCTTTCATGACTCTTATTTGGTTGAAAGTATTATAGCTTGAATTGTATTTTGCTGCCCAGTATTCATCCAAGTATTTATTTTACCTGCTCTGAATCAATAAACAGAATGACAGGACTATCCTTGGTTGCATGGGGTTGTGGTAAAGATAAATGTGATAATGATAAAAGATAAAGATGGAAAATAAACTGTGTATGCTGAAAATGAGTCCTGTAGGTAGTAAAGGTAGTCAAAACGACAACCACTGACCTACCCATAACCTGCATAAAGACCTGAGTGTTAAAAATGAAGGTGAAAAATCATTTTCACATGCTATTATGGGCTACTGGACTCTTTTGGAATATTTTGCTGAGTTTACACACCTATAATATTCAATAACAGAACTTAGAAAAAATGGGGTATACCGATGAATGTCCATTTTGTATCTGTGTATTCAAAGTGGTTAGGATAGGTATATAGTTACATTCTCTTAATGAATAGAATGATTTGTTCTAATGGTGTTTGTAAATAGGATCTCAAGTCCGCATTTGTATAGCAATTAACCACTAAGAAGAACATATGCAGTGTGTTATTTGTTGAAACTGTACTTCCGATTTGATTTGAAACTGTCTCATTGCTATCCGTTTATCAATAAAATTTTGGAAAAAAAAAAAAAAAAGACCTGAGTGTTGGTATTTAAATTCTATCAAAGCCATAGGTCATTGGGACCCCCCAGATCCAGCCCAAGCCCAGGCCCTGTGAGTGTGTGGGAGAGTTTCTGGCTCCCCTACGCCCACGGTACCTCTCCGGACCAAACCCAGGCACGTCGCATGAGACCCTCTGCTGCGCCCTCGGGACCCTTCCACCCCTCCAGAGCCCTGCCCCAAGCCCGCCAAGTGAGTGAGAACTGCTGCACTCTTGGGACCCTGCAGATCCAGCCCAAGCCCAGGCCCAGCGAGTGTGTGGGAGAGCTCCCGGCTCCTGTGCACCTGCAGGACCTCTCCAGACCAAACCCAGGAATGCTGTATGAGAGACCCTCTGCTGCGCTCTTTGGACCCTCCAGACCCAGCCCAAGCCAGACCCAGCTAATGTGTGGCAGAGCTTTGGTGCTCTTCTGCACTCCCTGGGCCAGAGGCATACCAGAGGGGCACAACAGGTCTACACTTCACTTCCAAGGGGTGCAGCAGGAAGGAGCTAAGCACAACAGCTAGACCCAAGCCAGGCACAACCGCACAACCTCAAATTTAACAGATCTGCACCCGAATTTTAGTAGGTGCTAAAGTTATAACTGCACCAAAGCTCTACAGCAAAGGTCAGAGGTCAGTGCTATATGAAATGACAAAGAGAAGGAGTTAAATGCAATCTCAGGACCTGAGCCCACCCAGAACAAATGCAGAGGACACTAGCACAGAAGAAATTGGGAATCACACAGCTGAAATGTCTGAATCAACAGCGTCTGAAGTAAAGAAACAACTGCAGAAAGATATAGAAGAACTCAGATCAGAAATAACCTCTGAAATGAAAAAAGAAATCTCTGAATAGCATCTGAAGTAAAGAATCAAATGCAGAAACATATAGAGGAAATCAGATCAGAAACAATCTCTGTAGTAGAAAAATTAATAACTGCTTCTAAAGAAGAGACTGATTAAAAAACATAGAGGAGATTAGAAAAACGATGGATTCCTTAAATGAACAATACAGGAAAGGAATAGATCGCATGAAGCAGAGTCAAAGAGATACAGAGGAACTTAAAATCTCAATCAAAAGCTTGCAAAACTGTTTGAGTGAAAGTGAAGATAGAATTTCAGATCTTGAAGACACTGTCACAGCTAGTGAAAAGGTAAGAGAAGATATCTTGAAAACACTTAGGATGCAGGAAAAAATAATTCATCTGGGGCTGGAGAGATGGCTCAGTGGTCTAAAGCACCTACTTGGAACAAGCTTGGCAAAGCACAGGGACCGCGGTTCAGTCCCCCAGCACCACACTAAAATAAAAAAAATAATAATTCATCACCTGCAAGATGATGCATAGATGAACAATGTGAGACTAATAGGCATCAATGAGAAAAAAGGAGTCAATACAAATAATAATAAAAAAAAATGGGCAGAAGTAATAGAAGAAAACTTCCCAAATATGAGGAAGCAATCTGCCATTCAGGTAACTGAAGCATACAGAATACCAAATAACTTCAAACCAATTAAAAACATACTGAGACATATAATAGTCAAGATCCCAGAAATTCAGAACAAGAATAATCTACTGAAAGCTGCTAGAGAAAAGAAACAGATCACATTCAAAGAAAAACCCATTAGAATTACGGCAGACTTCACAAACCATGAAGGCAAGAAGAGCATGGAGCAGAGTACTTCAAGTCCTCTATGAAAACAAATTCCAGCCAAGGCCACTATACCCTGCAAAACTCTCTTTCAAGTTTGATGGAGAAGTGAAATACTTCCACGACAAAGAAGAACTAAAGAATTTCATGATGACAAAGCCAACCCTACACAGACTACTGAAAGATGTTCTAGAGAGGGATCAAATGATCAGAATGCCATGAATGAGAACAGAAGGAGCTCACTAAATAGGAGAAACAATTAAACACAGGATAAAAAGGAGTAAACAGCAGTAGGTAAATAATATGTCAATTGTAAGTTAATACACCTCTATTATAACCATCAATGTAAATGGACTCAATTAACCAATTAAAAGAGATACACTGGCACAGTGGAAGGAATCAAAATCCAACAATATGCTGTATACAAGAAACACACTTAACTCATAAAGAAATTCATAGGCTGGAAGTCAAAGGATGGAAAACAATACTACATACTCCAGCACCTCAGAAAAAAGCAGGGGTAGCAATCTTGTTCTCAGACAGTTTTAACTTCAAACCAAGAATGACCAAATGAAACAAACAAGACCAATACATACTGCTTAGGGGAAAAATAGAAGAGGAACAGGTAACACTCATAAATATGTACACACCAAACATGGGAGCACCCAACTATATAAGACAAATCTTAATGGACATGAAAAATCTAATATACAATACCACCATCTTAACAGGAGACCCTAATACCCCCTTATCCCAAAAAGATAGGTCAAAAAAAAATTAGCAAAGAAATAGCAGAACTGAACCAGAGCTTGGAAAAAATGGACTTCGTGGACATATACAGAGTGTTCCACCCAAACACAGCTGAATACACATTTTTTTCAGCTGCACATGGGTCATTTTCTAAAATAGACCACATACTAGTCCATAGGTCATACTTAAGTTTATGCAAGAAAACAGAAATTATCTCATACACATTATCTGACCACAAAGCAATGAAACTGAAAATAAATGACAAAGGAAACCAAAAAGCCCCCTAAATACATGGAAATTAAACAACACCCTACTCAGCAATCAATGGGTCACAGATGAAATTAGACAAGAAATTCAACAATATCTACAATTCAATGAAAATTCGAGCACAACTTATCAGAATTTATGGGATGCGATGAAAGCAGTTCTCAGAGGGAAATTTATAGCTGTGAACCCACACATTAGGAAAACAGAAGGGGAACAAGTAAAGACCCTAAGGTTGCACCTCGAACATCTAGAAAACTAAGAGCAAACCAAACCCAGAGCCCAAAGACAGGAAGAAATCATAAAGATGAGTGCAGAAATTAATTCAATTGAGATGATGAAAACAGTTCAAAGAATTAATAAATCAAAAAGCTGGTTCTTTGAAAGATTAAATAAAATCAATAAGTCCCTAGCTAAGCTCATCAAAAAGAGGAAAAAAAAATTGAAATACAGACAATAAGGAATGAAAAGGATGTAATTACCACAGACCCAGTGGAAATTCTGAAGATTATCAATAGCTACTTTGAGAATCTTTACTCTCACAAAATAGAAGACACAGATGAAATGGACAGATTCATAGAAAGGTACAAATTTCAAAACTGAATCAAGAAGATATAACAACTCTCAATAACCCAATGAAATACAAAATGTAATAATAATTTTTTAAAAACCTACCAAAAAAGAAGAGTCTAGGTCCTGATGGATTCACAGCTGAATTCTACAAGAAATTTATATAAGATATAATCTCTACACTGTTCAAACTCTTCAATGAAATTGAAAGGAAGCAGTCCTCCCAAATCATTCCTGGAGGCAAGTATTATACTCATTCCAAAAGGGAAAGATACAAGTAAAAAAGAGAACTACAGGCCAATCTCCCTCATGAACATAGATGCAAAAATCCTCAATAAAATCCTAGCAAATAGAATACAGCAAGTCATCAAGAAGATCATACAC